ATCTTCCCGAAAAGACGGGACAGTTCAGGACCAATAGGTGTTCACCCTAAAATCTTTCGAACTTCTCACTATAAAGATTTTTTCTTTCCACCTCCCTTTTATGGATCCGGTCAAGCCCTCAAAAACACTAAGGCCGCCTCGAAAGACAAATGAGGGTGATCTTCTTTTCTGTGATTTGTTAAAGAGTAAAGCCCATTGATCAAATACGGAGAAAATTCCAAATTAGCTTTATGATTAACCCGAGCATAATCCTAATGCTATTTGGGGCAACTTGTGATACAGTGATGCCGAGCTGATTAAGGTAGTCACATAAATCTGTTTGGAGAGGAAGGCGAACACCAACGCTTAGACTTTTTCATACAGGATAAGGAAGTTGGGACATTGCTCAGAGTTTGCCCGAACATTTTTACCTATAGGAAGTAACTCAAACTCATCAGAAATAGAATATTTTACTTTAAGTCTTTCCATACCCTCTTCCCCGAATAATGAAATAGTTTTACTCTTTTTTGCAGTCTTTTTAATTTTTGTTTGAGCAGGCTGAGAGTTCTATTGAGACGAGGAGGGGTATTCCTATCTCTAATGACAATACTAGTGGCTCGGACCCTACCAGGTGATATCCTAGAAGCTTGATCCACCGCTTCCATGGTGATTGGAAGACCGCTGGAAGGAAAACCACCTGATTTGGTGGCTTCAGAGCTTGAAGAAGAAGAAGAGTCTTCAATGGCAATAGCTTTGCCATTTCCAGACAGGATGTGGGGTACTAGAGTTCATAGTATTGTGAAAAGCAAAGGAACAAGTAAGGAAAAGGCGAGATGAGAAAGGAAAAATTTACCTCTTGTGAAATCTTACAGAAAGTTGCAAAGGGAAATGAAAATGACAGTAAAAGAACTTTAAAAATCAACAGGAAATGCTTCAGCCTTCAATTTAGAAGCAGGTGAGAGAATTGGAAGAGACGTCAAGAGAAAGCGAAACGTCAACAAGCATGAAATAGCAAGAGTCGCCCCTTAATGATGAAGTAAAGAAGCATGCCGTTCTAAGAGCATTGATAATGCCAAAAGTCACGTCTATTAAAGACAAGACGTGAGCTAATAATGAACTGACATCTAGGGCTAAGACAAGACGTGAGCTAATAATGAACTGACATCTAGGATGAAATAGCAAGAGTCGCCCCTTAATGATGAAGTAAAGAAGCATGCCGTTCTAAGAGCATTGATAATGCCAAAAGTCACGTCTATTAAAGACAAGACGTGAGCTAATAATGAACTGACATCTAGGGCTTACGTGGAAGAGCAAGATAAAAAGGTGTTCGAAAGTGACTTAAAGTGCTAGAAAGAGCATGGAGATGACTGAACATAAATGGTTCGATATATTTCGGAGAAACTTTTGATAGGAACAAATTATTAATCTATACCGAGCAAACCAAGTAACCAAGCAACATAAAGAGCTGAGCAATTAATTAAGACCAAACAGTCTTCGGATTCGTTTGAATAAAAGTAACGTTCAGTCAATGTAGTCATTAAAGATCACTAATTGTCGAGATTCTTGCCCGGCATTCATAGCCAAGATTCTTATCATAAATGTACATATTCAGTTACAATTTCAGATTTATTATAAATAACTATATGAGGACCTAGAAAAACCATCAAAGAAATTAGCTATATTCCTACTTCTTAAGAATATCTTAAGTTCGCTTCTATCACATAGTACTTTCACTCGATCTTCATCATATACTCCAATTCGTTGTGGTCTACGAGAGTTAAGAGGCGGATTGATACTATAAAAAGTGCCCAAAAGTGTAATATTATCTTATTAATTAATTAAACAATAATAATCTTCCAAAATTACAAATCTTTGGTTATTGAGCTAAACTAACTCGGCTAAATCAATAGGTCACGCATTAAATATTACTTTAGTCCTTTTATGGTTTAAGTTTTAAACTACGGTGCCAATATATTTATATTTTTAAATGAGAATGCTCAAGGTATAAAGGTCGTTTTAAAGTGATATTGCAACAAGTCACATAGTTGGGATTTTTTTGTAATTTAAGCCGAATAAACTATATAGAAAATTTATGAGATTGACTATAAAATCTCTTGTTCAAGGATAAGATGAGAGAAAAATTCCATCACAGTGGAAAGAAACAACTTCACATACTCTCCAAACAAACTCTAATCCCAATAGATTTTCCCAAACTTATTTTGTCCATGTTGCACAACGAATTTTTCTGAATAAGTCATAATTCATGACCATGAAAATTAAAACTATTAAATTCGGATTGATCCGGTAAATTGACCCAAAAAATTAGTAAGCCAAACTTAAAATTAACCGGTTTTACTTCTGAACTATTTAAGAAAAAGAATAAAAATAAACCAATTAAATCATTATTAAAGGGGTATTATAGATGTTCTTGAATGCTAGTATTTCCATTCAAGAACTCCGGACTAATGCCTCGAGCCGTTGTTCTTAAGCTGCATAGATATCCCAATTCTAATGAGATTTTTATGAAAATGAACAAAATCAAGTGAATAAATGATAGGAGAACGATAAGTTAATGCAAAGAGTTGAAAAGAAAACTATTTAGCATTGGAATTGGAGTTTCTCTTAGTTAAAATCTACAAGTCCAAGGAAAGGAGTTAGGTTAGGTTTTCTTTGATTTGTTGCTTTCGTTTTATTGCATTCATGGTAATAATATAACGGTCCATAACTTAGTTCAGAGCCACTAGGCAAACAGAGCAGCTGTAATGATAAGGAGATAAACATGAAGCGTCTAGAAAAGGAGGGATGGGCATCACCCATTTATGCAAATACCCTAATCCTTAAGTTAATTAGGTGGGTATTATTCTTTATTTTCTCATTTTCTGCTTGAAGAATCAGAAATATCGGATTCGAGTCTCTTTCGTTATTACATTGAATCATGGTAATATATATAACGGCTCAAATAACTTAGTTCTAGAGCCACTAGGGCAAACAAGAAGCAGCTGTAATGTAGAAGGAAGAGTAAACATGACAGAGCGTACCTAGACAAGGAGGATGATGGGCACATCGAACCCATTTATGCGCCAAATACCCTAAATCCTTAAAGAATTTAAATAGATGGGCATCACCCATTTATGCAAATACCCTAATCCTTAAGTTAATTAGGTGGGTATTATTCTTTATTTTCTCATTTTCTGCTTGAAGAATCAGAAATATCGGATTCGAGTCTCTAATTACTGAAATTTTTATCAATTTGATACAAATTATTAGAATGAAAATTATTATTAATTTGTAAATAATACATTTACAATATTATTTCAATTCATTTAAATAGTTGACCAAATATTTTTCTAGTTTTCTTATAAAAATTCAAGAATTTAAATTTGACATTTCTTTAATTAGAATATATGTCAAATAAATTTTGGCTCAATAACATTTAAATTATGTTTCGATTTAATTATCAGTAGTCTCACATCTTTTTGAAGGTTAATCTTATTTTGAGATTCATGCGAGATTCGTGTTTACTCTTGTTCATTAATATTTTTTTAAACAAAGATTATCTATTTGATTTAAATATGTATCACATAAATAACTTTTACCCCTATTTTACGGTTTGGTAAAAAATTAATCCCTTTCGAGCCGAGAACCGATCATGTTAAAGCTGTTAAAACTCTCACCAAGAAGCCGATTCTATGACTCCATTTTATAGTGATCAAAGTAGAGTCTAACTCACTTCAACTACTCAACCAAACTATTTTTAATAATATTGAAATTATTTTAATAATGTGGGATTGCAAATTTAAACCTGGTCTAATGAATAAAATAAATAAACATAGAATGTACACAAAAGAAAAATAAATAGATGGAATGGGCAAAAAGCAAGTGGAAAAGCTAGAAGCTTGTATTGTTCATAAAACATTGCACAGCAAGAAATGATAGAACAATTTTCCTCAGGGTCTTCTACTGGGGAAAATAACAAAGTAGTACAGATCACCATTAGGCCATTAATACTTGGCATCTTCTAAAGGGAGCAGTGTTGAGACCAGATTTTGCTGGATCCAAGGACTCTGGAAGCATCAGCTAGAAATCCAAGAATGCAGTAAAAATTTGCTCAAAATGACCCAACATCCTGAACACCATCTGGGAGATAACACAGGACTTGGTTGGATTAAAGAGAATGGCTATTGATTAATTCCTCCAATCTTCATATGCAGCATCTAGGAAAAAGATTCATTCATTCCTCCTTGATTATCAAGAAAATCTCCAAATGGAAGGAAAGGTTTCTTCCCAATCTTCATATGCAGCATCTAGGAAAAAGATTCATTCATTCCTCCTTGATTATCAAGAAAATCTCCAAATGGAAGGAAAGGTTTCTTCTGTTCTTGTTCTTGAACGAGCTCTCTTATTGGTTTCAAGTCAATTAAGTAAAGAAAATTTCTTGTATTTTCCTTTTAATTATTTGTCCACTTAAATCTCAATTTCTGATAATGAAATAGAAATGTGTTCTGGGTAAAGATTTGATTCTACAGTTGTCTCCTCAGAAACCAAATAATCAATTAATCTTAAAAGGAACTAATATTATTATCGTTATATAACAGAAAATACCTTACATATTTTTGCTATATGTGTAAGTTTAGAGGAAATAATAGCTCAACCGGAAATCTCAATAGCCTTGACATCAGGTTTCTTGATTTCCTCCTTAGGGACAGTCACAGTAAGAATTCCATTTTCCATTGAAGCCTTTACTTGATTCATCTTTGCATTCTCCGGCAGCCTGAATCTCCTCATGAACTTCCCACTGCTACGCTCCACACGATGCCAAGTGTCATTCTTGTCTTCTTTCTCCACATTCCTCTCTCCGCTGATTTGAAGAACCCTGTCGTCTTCAATCTCAACCTTCACTTCCTCTTTCTTAAGCCCAGGAAGTTCAGCCTTGAATACATGAGCTTCCTCTCTAGTCTATCTAAAAATCACCTTTCCACACTCTTTCTATATAGCCCATAATGGTAAGTTTTTCTCCACATTCCTCTCTCCGCTGATTTGAAGAACCCTGTCGTCTTCAATCTCAACCTTCACTTCCTCTTTCTTAAGCCCAGGAAGTTCAGCCTTGAATACATGAGCTTCTGGTGTCTCTTTCCAGTCTATGCGAGTGTTGATAAAAGCAGAATTTTCACGAGAGAAGATCGAAGAAGATGAAGGGAAAGGAAAGTCTTTGAATGGATCCCAAACGTCTAAAGAAGAGAAAGGATCGAAAATGCTGCTTCTTGAGTTACCGAAGAAACTTGGAATCAGAGCCATTTCCAATTTGTTTATCGCTCAGGAAAGATTTGATAGATCGCTGAGAAAGTAATCGAGAGCTGAACTGCTTCTAATTGTCCGTGGTGGGAGTAAGGATGATGGGTTTGATTATTTATAGGATGCAGAAGAACGATTCTGGTAGTTTCTCGGGAAATCTAATTGGGCTTTCGCTAACAAACTGTATCTGGAAAAATCTCGAACCTGTGTTCTTTCTAAATCAATTATCAATTTCTTCTAGTATGTTCTTTAGATTGATTAAAAATTTTTCAATTAACCCTTTTAAAGACAATTAAAATAAAAATTTTTGCTTTAAAATAAATTATTTAAAATTCAACAACAATAAATTTTGCTTTTATATCATAAATAGTTGCAAAATTTTAAAATTTCAATTATCAACTTTGTAATGGAGTGAGCATTCAATTTGGTTAGTTTTAAGCAATTTATTAGACCAAACCAAATAAAATTAACCGAAAACCGAATTTTGAATAATCAAAACCGAATAAAAAATAGAGAAAATCGGATTAATTATATTATATTATACTATATTATCTTGTATATATTAGTTTTTTTATAATAGATAGAAAATATATCTAATTAAACAAAAATGATAAGAATCTAAATTCTATAAAAATAAATTCGAAAATGAAGACTCTACTTTCTCGTACACAACAATAATTATTCCTATCAAATAGATTTAACTATTTATTATAAATTAGCAATGTTATTGCAAATTGTTTTAGGATCTTAATTTTCAAAATACAGCACTTTCCCTTTTGGGTTTATTACGATTGCTTAACTAAAATCGATTAGACTAAATTGATTTTGATTACTAACTGAACCTCATCAATCACATTGAAAAATTGAATAAAAATAACAAAGTGATTTTGATTACTAACTGAACCTCATCAATCACATTGAAAAATTGAATAAAAATAACAAAGTGATTTTGATTACTAACTGAACCTCATCAATCACATTGAAAAATTGAATAAAAATAACAAAGGCAACCGCAAAAATCGATTGAACCGAAAAATTGAATCAAATACTTACTCTTTACTCATTTCAGTCTCACATTGATATACATTTTTTATTTCACAAGAATTTAAAAAAAAAAAGCTATTTTTGTTAGAAATGACAATTTATATATATTTATATATATATATATATATATATACCCTACTTTAACATGAGATATACAAGTTAATCTGTTATTTTACTTTGTAATCAACCAAGATTAATTACTTTTTTATCTAAGTTACTTATCTAATGGAGTATTACATACCTCAGTTCCATAATAATTGCCACATTTATTAAATTTGCCTAAATTAGAAAAATTATTGAGTAAAATGTTTATATTACCCTTCATTTAATATTAATTCTCTAAGAAAATCATTAAATTGAAGTACTCCCTCCATCCCAAAAAGATAATCCATCTTTCCTTTTTGGTTTGTCCCAAAATATAGTTCACTTTCTTTTTTTTGCATTATAGTTAATCCTTAAATTGGTTTGTCCCAAAATATAGTTCACTTTCTTTTTTTGCATTATAGTTATCCCAAAAAGATAATCCATCTTTCCTTTTTGGTTTGTCCCAAAATATAGTTCACTTTCTTTTTTTTGCATTATAGTTAATCCTTAAATTGTCTATTGTATCATTATTAAATTATTTTATTTTCAATAACGCTCATTAATTCTTAGTTATTATTTCAATACTCATGTGCTATTTAAGATGGACATAATAGGAAAGTTATATGAATAAAATTGTCCTTTAACTATATTTCTTAATATGTGCGAAAATAGAAAATAGACTATCTTTTTGGGACGAAGGTAGTAATAATTATTAGTCATATACAATGGGTAAACACCGAAAAAAAATATTTATTACTCTTGAAACCACAAATGTGATATGTATTTTAAAAAAAAATTATTTTCTCAAATGTAACAAATATTATAGAACGGGGGTAGTAGTTACTATGAGTAACTATTAACATTTTCAATTTTCAAAGTTTCGATTTTCAATAAATAATGGCATTGAAAAATAAAGAGTAATTGATAAAAATAAGAAACTTATATTTAACAAGTAAAATTAAATATGGATATAATAGAGATTTAACATGTTAACTAACTTATTGAAATTGTAATAATTTGGGACAAATGAAAAAAAAATGTGTCTATCAATTTGGGACGGAGGGAGTAATTGTTTTTCCTAAACTGATTTCCCCTCTTATGAATAACCATGAACTAACGTTGTTTTATTATTTTACGTAAATTTTAATAAAGGTTTGAAGCTTATTTAGAGTGTTTTCCCTTCATTTGAAACTCCACTTGTTGCTAAAGAGAAGACATGGGGTCATAAACCAGCCTTCAATAAGGTGTTCTCAAGTAGCTACCTAAGGTCCCCTGTTAATTTTCTTCTCTTTGAGAAAAGATGCAAAACGATCAAATCGACAATTGTTTCAGGTAGCAGCGGGATGAGTCATCCTTTTCACACCTCGAGCATTATTTTGTTCTTTGTTTGGGGCTACTAATCAAATTGAGCATTGTTTCAGGACTTGGATTAAATAGAATGGCTACTGATTAATCCCTCCAATCTTCATATGCAACATCTAGGAAAAATATTCATTCTTTCCTCATTGATTATCAAGACAATCTCATAATGGAAGGAAAGTTTTCTTCTGTTCTTGTTGTTTGAACAAGCTCTCTTATTGGTTTCAAGTCAATTAAGTAAAGAAAGACTATATGGTCACCCTATAAGGAGACTATATGGTCACCCTAATAAGGCTTTTAAAAAAAATAATGCTCTTCAGAAAACTATTTCAAACAATCTAATGTCATTTCAAAATTATTTAAATCATCTAGTGTTTGTTTTTTGGCCATGGAAAGAGCACGTCGCTCGCAACCTAAATAAATCACCATTGAAGTTGGTGTTTCAGGTAATATAAAAAAATTAACTCGTACTGAGAAGAATCACAAAAATTGGTGGTTTCAATACAAAATGAAAATTTTAAATTGTCAATTCACCTTTTCACTAAAACACACAGTTCGTTTGGTGGTTTTAGTGCAACTATGAGATGTGAACACTATAGAATGTGACCACTCGTCAGTAAAAAGTACACGAGAAAATAGCATTTTGTTAAGAGTCCACAGATTAATTAGTGGTTTCAATAAAAAAGTATTTATTCACTCAAAATATTTTTTTCACCAAAACATATATATAATCTGGTGGTTTTAGTTAATAATTATTTCAAGTTAACTAATAACAACACGAGTTTCCTTACACAGTTAAAAATTACCAAGAGTAACAAAGAGCTTCGAGTTGAACTTATATGATGTTAAAAATATCTTAATAACTTAATCATATTAATATCTACTCACATGTCCTCCTGTACCACACCTTGAAAGCCTCCTATTACGATGTGGATTTCGACGTACCGCATCTTCTCAAATGGTTGTGTAACATCCCAGGCTCTACCGAGATATTGTCCGCTTTGGGCCCCAGGCCCGCACGGTTTTGTTCCTGGGCCAGGGAACCACCTCCTAGCCCAAATTTCGCCTAAGGTGCAGTCCCTGACAGGTTGTTATGGAGAAAATGTCATATGAGTCTGTTGCTCGGGTATCATCATCTCAAAAAAATCATTAAATGAGTGCCTAATATGAAATGTAGATCCATCAAGTGTGCTGAATGACACCGTAGAAATATTGAAAGCAGGTATTGTATATTGAAGTGGCACTCTCGCCTATTCTGGAGAAAGAAGTATGGATTTGTTGGGTTGCCATCATCGAAGTGTAATGAATGTTTAATGACATTTCTAATATTGAAGATAGTACACTCCATTCAGGTTATGGTGTAGAAGATGATGTGCTGGGCATATTAGCGCGATAACCTTCATACTAGTTATATGTCATACAGGGAGAGACTTGAGGTATATCGTCTACTGGCAGGGCTTCAAATGGAATACGTTTATATATCTTTTCATGTCTCCTTCACCTCTGCAGTTTTTTTGGTGTTTGAACACGAAGAAACTCTATAGATAGAAGGGCATGTTGAAGCATACAATGAGTTCCGTTACGAATTTCTTCATTCATTATACCGAATAGGCTAAATAATCTTCAATGGAATGATAGATTTCTATATGTTTGTGATGTTAAACTGTGATATATATATTGAAGCTCATCTGCCTGTATTAAAAAAATATTATGGAAATGAGAGCAAGATTTATCTTCAGTTCAGAATTAGAAATTATGAGATAAAGATAGAAAGGATATTGATATAGATAAACCACAACCCAACCTTATGCAAGTGTGAAATGAATCCAACGTTTGAATTCGTTGCAAAATATCAAATATGATTGCAGCCAAAATCACCAAGATAATAGTGTGGTGTTTTAAGTGACAAATATTTGAGTGAATAAATATGTTTTTTATTAAAACCAATAAGTTAACTTAGGGACTCTTAAAACACTAATTTTTTTCATGGTACTTTTGCTGGACCAGTATCACAGTTCATAGTTGCACTAAAATCCATAAACGAATTGGTGTGTTTAATCAAAAATGCATAATTGAGAGCTTAAATTTTTCATTTGTGTATCGAAACCACCAATTGAATTTTTGTAGGCCAATAAAAATAAAAATTATTACTTGTTTTCCTATTAACTACTTTTAACACGTTTATCAATACGAATACTTTTTCGTACGAAATCAGCAATTCAATTACTCGATTTTAGTGCAACACTGCTATTTTTATATTAAGAATAAATTATTAAAGTTTAATAAATATTTTAAAAAAATAGCAGTTAAAAATGAAAATGATTTTAATGTAAAAGCATTATTTAATCAGAAGCAGCCAACTTATAATCGATTTTTAAAGACAAATGATTGCATGGACTGGGATCCAAGCCTAAGACTCTAAAATTTTTTCCTTGTATGTTCTTTTAATTATTATCCGCCCTACATCTAAATTCTGATTTTACTTTGGACTGTGTCGGAGTATATGATGCAACAAAAATGAAATAATGAAATAAAAATTTTCCGCGGGAAAAGAATTGATTTCAAAAAGAGAAAATTGTCTCCTCGACAAACCAAATAATCAATTAATTATAAAAGCAATATTACTGTCGTTATATAACAGAAAATACCGTACATCAAAGATTCAGACACTACCTCATAGCATTAATACAAACAGTCACACCCAGCAAAATAACAGAAGAAACACCATTAATTCTTTCTTCATCATCTCTAGCTTTGCTATATATGTAAGTTTACAGGAAATAATAGCTCAACCAGAAATCTGGATAGCCTTGACATCAGGTTTCTTGATTTCCTCCTTTGGAACTGTCACAGTAAGAACTCCATTTTCCATTGAAGCCTTTACTTGATCCATCTTTGCATTCTCCGGCAGCTTTGCATTCTCCGGCAGCCTGAATCTCCTCATGAACTTCCCACTGCTACGCTCCACCCGATGCCAAGTATCATTCTTTTCTTCTTTCTCCACATTCCTCTGTCCGCTGATTTGGAGAACTCTGTCATCTTCAACCTCTACCTTCACTTCCTCTTTCTTGAGCCCAGGAAGATCAGCCTTGAAGACATGAGCTTCTGGTGTCTCTTTCCAGTCTATGCGAGTGTTCACAAAAGCAGAATTTTCACGAGAGACGATTGACGATTGAAGAAGATGAAGGCAAAGGAAAATCTTTGAATGGATCCCAAAAGTCAAAAGCAGAGAAAGGATCGAAAATGCTGCTTCGTGAGTTACCGAAGAAACTTGGAATCAGAGCCATTTCTGTTTTGTTTATTTCCTGGACAAGATCTGATAGATAGCTGAGAAAGTAAATTGAGAACTGAACTTCTTCTTATCGTCGATGGTCGGCCTAGGGGTAATGGGTTTGATTATTATAGGCAGTAGAAGAGCGATTCTGGTAGTTTCTCGGGAAATCTAATTGGGCTTTCGTTAACAAACCATATATGAAAAGTTCTGGAACCTTCAATGCTTGGAAAGTTCGATAAATCTGGATTTGGGCCTTTCTCGCACATTCTCGAACTTTTGTTCTTCGCACATTCTCGAACTTTTGTTCTCAGTTTCCATACGGGCTCAGTCGATGTCGTTTTTCAAGATCCAGCCACGTCAGCCAATTGAGGTCGAGCAGGAGTACTATGTATTGGAAGAAATTTGCCAAACAAAGTTCATAGCCTTATTTATGAAAATCAATAAAGCTAAAGATTTTTTAAATAATGTTTTGACTTAATTTTTTTTTCTTTTCAGGTTTGTAGTTAGAAATATTCCCTTTTAATAAGAATTCTTAACTTTATTCATTTGGTCTATAAGTGAGACTATAAATTCAGTTTAAATAATTTTTTTTTTTTCGTTTATTTATGAAATAAATTGCCACGGAATAGGATAGACTATTTTCAGAAATTAAAAAAAAAAAGACACAGCACACCTAGCACAAAAAAAAAAAAAAAAAGACACAGCACACCTAGCACCATAGCCTTAAAAACCTTAAAAAAATATGTAACTTATTAAAAAGATTTAAATAAATAAATAATCATATATAATAACTTATAAATATCTTTAAAAAAAAACCAACTATAATATGAGATATTAAATCTTTTAAAATGTTCGTGCAACAAATTCAAAATCAAGAAAATACAACTTTAGCATTTTAAAGCATTTTGTTATTTGAAAGTATAGTAGATGGAAGAAATTTGAAAGTTATTAAATCAAACTTATCAAATGACTATAGAGTCGGATAATGCTATAAGTAGCCATTAAGTAGAGCGTGTTTACAGCTAATAGCATAGATCAATTACTCTATCAACTTGATTGAATCTCTTAAAACAAGCTAAAGTTTTTTAATGAAATTTGTGCGGAGAAAGCTCACGAATGGACTAAAAAGAAATTTCATATTTAGAGTTTAAATTCGAAACATTTGATTAAATGAGTATAAAACATTAAAGTCAATATCAATAGATCAACTATTACAGAAAAAAGTTTATTTTCTACTTTCCCACCATTTATTGGGACTTTCATTCAAAGCTTATAAAACTTTTCTTTTCGACCTTCGAATGAATCTCTACCACCCCATCTTATCCCTCGAGATATAATTTATAAATATTCTTATTGTCTTATAAAACCTTTTTTTAGCTAATTCTCTATATTTATAATGAAATATAGAAAATGAGCTCAATTTTTTAAGATAAGAATTTTTTTTTTTTTTTTGAAATACATTTTTGAAGTATAATATAATTTTCAAAATCAAATGGCAGCAGACAGAAAATTGATAAAAGAATGTATGATTAGTGATATTTGATATTGAGAGTTGGATTCAAGATTTGTTGACATGAAAATCTGAAAATATCTACACGACAAATGTTTTATTAGCATTTTATATATCAAATGGCGTCTGACCTTCAGAACACTTAAATTTTTTTTTTTTAATAATTTTTTATTATTCATATTTAATTTGTTATACTTGCAATCCCCCTTAACTAACTTTTATTATCATTTTTACATTTTTATTCACTTGTATATGAATATTATTATTATATATAAAAAAATTTATGATGCTCACTTTAGAAATGATTTTATACAAAATTCAAGTTTCTAAATGCATTGGCACATAATTTATCCCTTTAAATTTGATAAAAAAAAATCGTGTGACACTTTAAACATATTGTAACATTTTTATATTCATTTTTATAATAAATTCAAACCTCTTTATATTAATAATGATAATTTTTAATCATTTTTTATACATAAAATATTGGATATGCGATTAATAAAAATTTAAAATACTAATGTTCTTTTATTTATTTAATTATCAAATAAATGTTTGATGAAACCGATTTTATTAATCAAATTTTGTAAATAAGTTAATATATAATATAAAATTATTTGCTTAGCTACTTAAAATATATAGCAATATAAAATTATTTTTTAAATGATTTAATTAGCCAGTGAATTTTTACGTATGACATAATGACATAAACCTTAGTGTTAAATTTGTGAAATTCAGCTGTTAGAAATTTAAAAAAATTGAAAGTAGATTTTACAACTCAAGACTCCATCTCTGTTCATTAATTTATTACATCAAACAACTTCTGAATCTCTCCAAGCACATTCATTTTAATGCTCAAATTTGTAAAACTCAGCCAGAAATCTCAATAGCCTTCACATCAGGTTTCTTGATTTCCTCCTTAGGAACAGTTACAGTAAGAACTCCATTTTCCATTGAAGCCTTCACTTGATCCATCTTTGCATTCTCCGGCAGCCTGAAACTCCTCAAGAACTTGCCACTGCTACGAAACTTGCCACTGGCTACGCTACCGAGCGCTCAAGTATCGTTCTGTCTTCTTTCATCCACAGTTCCCTCTCCTCCCGCTGATTTGGAGAACTCTGTTCACTTCAACCTCTACCTTTCACTTCCTCTTTCTTGAGCCAGGAAGACAAAGCCTTGAAGATAATGAGCTCTGGTGTCTTCTTTCCAGTCTATGCGAGGTGTTAGACAAAAGCAGATCACGAGAGACGATTGAAGAAGATGAAGGGAAAGGAAAGTCTTTAAATGGATCCCAAACGTCGAAAGCAGAGAAAGGATCGAAAATGCTGCTTCGTGAGTTACCGAAGAAACTTGGAATCAGAGCCATTTCTAATTTGTATATCGCTTAAGAAGATTTGATTGATGCGTTTTTGCTGTCTATGGAGGAATGGTGAGAATGGAAGGGATATTTATAGGAAGCAGAAGCAGGATTCTAGTAGTTGCTCGGGCAATCTAATTGGGCTTTCGTCAAGAAACTGTATCTAGACAAGTCTCGAACCTTCAGTGAAGGGATATGGGCTTTTTCACGCATGTTCTGGAACCTGTTTTATCCATATGGGTCCAGTCTTACACTATGAAAGAAAATAAAGGAGGAACGAAAATGAGAATTGATTTTACTATTCATTTTTCTTCTTTATTTTCCGCCCTATATTTAGAAAAGGGAGGAAAATAAATGGGCAGAAAGAAAATAAATCTATTTTCCTTTGTTTGGAAAGAAAATAATATTATTATAACTTTACATTTTTATCCTTTATACATCTATAATTAAGTTATAATTGGTTAATTATTTAATTAATATAATGAATTAACCATTTTTTTATCCTTTATACATCTATAATTAAGTTATAATTGGTTAATTATTTAATTAATATAATGAATTAACCATTTATAAGTGAAACCATTGCAAGGTGTGCCTGCATCATATTTTACATCTAAAAAAATGGAAGAAAATAACATAAAAACATAAAGTTAGACAAAATTAGTTAATGTTTAATTCCTTTAATTACTAGTATTCAAGCTTGAATATTGATAATTATAGATCGGTCAATCACACCATTTATGAAATAACTCAAAAATTGGTTTTCATATATTTTACATTTAAAAATTTATGCCTAATTTCAGCCTCCGAGGTTATGTAATGAAATTTAAAAATATATATATTTTATTATTGCTAAACCGGACCTGTAAATTAGTTTAAAATCTTCAAACCGAATGAACAATCTATAAATCAAATAAAAAACAAGACGAAATCATTAAATTGGACCAAACCGATTTGAATCGAACAAAAATAACCTAGAAGCTCTTTCTTTTCTTTTCTTTTTCTTCCTCTCTCACTCTCAGCAAAATGTTAAAAGTCAATTCAGGACTGCACAGAGGGAAAAGCCAATTATATGCCTATTTGATTTATTCTTCTTCGGCATTTTCTTGAGTGAGTTGAAGGTTATTCTAGGGCAAGGAGATCTAAAATATGAAGAGGTTTATTGGCGTATTTAGCAAGGGCATCTATACTTGCTTTCTCTCCTTGGGTCAATAACCTATCTTCCCGAAAAGATGGGACAATTCAGGACCAATAGGTGTTCACCCTAAAATCTTTCGAACTTCTCACTATAAAGAATTTTTCTTTTCACCTCCCTTTTATGGATTCGGTCAAGCCCTCAAAAACACTAAGACCGTCTCGAAAGACAGATGAGGGTGATCTTCTTTTCTGTGATTTGTTAAAGAGTATAGCCCATTGATCAAATACGGAGAAAATTCCAAATTAGCTTTATGAGCTAAGATGCTTAACCCGAGCATAATCCTAATGCTATTTGGGGCAAGTTGTGATACAGTGATGCCGAGCTGATTAAATACAAAGTGATGGAGCTGAATTAAGGTAGTCATGATAAATCTTGTTTGGGAGGATAGGCACACCACGCCTTAGACTTTTTTTCGTACATATAAAGGAATGGGATTTCACTTTGCTCAGAGTTGCGCCACATTTTTTACCTATTAGGAAGTAACTCAAACTCAATCAGAAATACGAATTATTTTAACTTTAAAGTCTTTCCAATACCCTCTTGCCCTATATATAGTAACTAAGTTTTTACTTCTTTTGTCGTCTTTTTTAGTTTTTGTTTTGAGGTAGGCTGAGAGTTTATTGAGACGAAGGAGGGGTTTATTTCTATCTCTAAGATGGACAATACTAGTGGGCTCGGACCCTACTAGGTCATATCTAAGAAGCTTGATCCAACCGCGTATCCAGTGGTGATTGGAAGACCGCATGGAGAAAACCACCTGATTGGTAGCTTTAGAGCTTGAAAGAAGAAAGAAGAGTCTTCAAATGGCAATAGCTTGCCTTTTCAGAGTCAGGGGTGGGGGTAACCTAGAGTTCAGTATTGTGAAGAAGCAAAGGAGACAGACGTAAGAAAACGCGACCAATGAGACAGGAAAAACTTTTACCTCTTCATGATAGTCTTACAGATAAGTTGCAAAGGAAAGAAAGTGATAGTATGAACTGTTAAAAAATCCAAACAGAAATGCTGATCAACCTTCAATTTATTAAGCAGTGAGAGCAATTGGAAGAGACGTCAAGGAGAAAGCGAAACGTCAATAAGCATGAAATAGCAAGAAGGCTTTCGCCCCTTAATGATAAAAATGAAATAGCAAGAGTCGCCCCTTAATGATGAAGTAAAGAAGCATGCCGTTCTAAGAGCATTGATAATGCCAAAAGTCACGTCTATTAAAGACAAGACGTGAGCTAATAATGAACTGACATCTAGGGCTTACGTGGAAGAGCAAGATAAAAAGGTGTTCGAAAGTGACTTAAAGTGCTAGAAAGAGCATGGAGATGACTGAACATAAATGGTTCGATATATTTCGGAGAAACTTTTGATAGGAACAAATTATTAATCTATACCGAGCAAACCAAGTAACCAAGCAACATAAAGAGCTGAGCAATTAATTAAGACCAAACAGTCTTCGGATTCGTTTGAATAAAAGTAACGTTCAGTCAATGTAGTCATTAAAGATCACTAATTGTCGAGATTCTTGCCCGGCATTCATAGCCAAGATTCTTATCATAAATGTACATATTCAGTTACAATTTCAGATTTATTATAAATAACTATATGAGGACCTAGAAAAACCATCAAAGAAATTAGCTATATTCCTACTTCTTAAGAATATCTTAAGTTCGCTTCTATCACATAGTACTTTCACTCGATCTTCATCATATACTCCAATTCGTTGTGGTCTACGAGAGTTAAGAGGCGGATTGATACTATAAAAAGTGCCCAAAAGTGTAATATTATCTTATTAATTAATTAAACAATAATAATCTTCCAAAATTACAAATCTTTGGTTATTGAGCTAAACTAACTCGGCTAAATCAATAGGTCACGCATTAAATATTACTTTAGTCCTTTTATGGTTTAAGTTTTAAACTACGGTGCCAATATATTTATATTTTTAAATGAGAATGCTCAAGGTATAAAGGTCGTTTTAAAGTGATATTGCAACAAGTCACATAGTTGGGATTTTTTTGTAATTTAAGCCGAATAAACTATATAGAAAATTTATGAGATTGACTATAAAATCTCTTGTTCAAGGATAAGATGAGAGAAAAATTCCATCACAGTGGAAAGAAACAACTTCACATACTCTCCAAACAAACTCTAATCCCAATAGATTTTCCCAAACTTATTTTGTCCATGTTGCACAACGAATTTTTCTGAATAAGTCATAATTCATGACCATGAAAATTAAAACTATTAAATTCGGATTGATCCGGTAAATTGACCCAAAAAATTAGTAAGCCAAACTTAAAATTAACCGGTTTTACTTCTGAACTATTTAAGAAAAAGAATAAAAATAAACCAATTAAATCATTATTAAAGGGGTATTATAGATGTTCTTGAATGCTAGTATTTCCATTCAAGAACTCCGGACTAATGCCTCGAGCCGTTGTTCTTAAGCTGCATAGATATCCCAATTCTAATGAGATTTTTATGAAAATGAACAAAATCAAGTGAATAAATGATAGGAGAACGATAAGTTAATGCAAAGAGTTGAAAAGAAAACTATTTAGCATTGGAATTGGAGTTTCTCTTAGTTAAAATCTACAAGTCCAAGGAAAGGAGTTAGGTTAGGTTTTCTTTGATTTGTTGCTTTCGTTTTATTGCATTCATGGTAATAATATAACGGTCCATAACTTAGTTCAGAGCCACTAGGCAAACAGAGCAGCTGTAATGATAAGGAGATAAACATGAAGCGTCTAGAAAAGGAGGGATGGGCATCACCCATTTATGCAAATACCCTAATCCTTAAGTTAATTAGGTGGGTATTATTCTTTATTTTCTCATTTTCTGCTTGAAGAATCAGAAATATCGGATTCGAGTCTCTTTGTGTATCTTGGTATTCTTAACCATCCACTCATTTTTGCTTAATCACCTGTTAGAATTATGGTAATACATATAAATGATAGTGGGATAATATATATAAATGATAGTGAAGAACTCAAGAGATAACTCAACAAAGGTTGGATCTTTGAGCCCGCTATCAAAAGGTCAGGATGGACCAATCCACCAATCTGGGGGCAATCGGTCTTCTTTTTTTTTCTGTGATTGACTTTCTGTACATAGGAATGAGTCTCCATTTTTTACTGTCAAAGTTTCGAAGTTGGTTGTTCTTTTACCTCGATAAGCTTATCCAATTGATCATCCAACCCAACATGAATAAATAAAAAATGAAGATACCTATTCATTTCTCCCTGTTTCCTAAACGTCCTAAAAAGAGATAGGGAATAGAATTTTATGTTTCATCAACGAATCATCCGACGTAGAGAACTCTGGACTAAACACAAAGATAATGGTATCGATAATAACTAATGCGATGTGAGCACTATCGTTAGACTCACCTAAAAAAGAATAGTTATGTATAGGATCTCCATACATGTGTCGCTTCTCTTCGATTTTTGTGTTGGAGTTTTTGGAGTGAGTGGTTCGCGTGTCGTTGTTTCGCTTTATTGGGGAGTGTTGTCGTGAGACCTAAGTATTCACCTACCAGCCCTCGAACATAAGAAGTTCCAATGGGAGGCAATACTTGAGAATTGGCAATGAAATGGCAATCCATAAAAAAACACCAATAATTAGATCAGTTAAAATAAAGTAATAGCCAAAAGAAATTACTGAATAGCTTAATAAAGTTGATATGACTGCTGTTAGGTTAGGTTTTCTTTGATTTGTTGCTTTCGTTTTATTGCATTCATGGGAATAATATAACGGTCCATAACTTAGTTCAGAGCCACTACGCAAACAGGGCAGCTATAATGATAAGGAGATAAACATGAAGCGTCTAAAAAAGGAGGGATGGGCATCACCCATTTATGCAAATACCCTAATCCTTAAGTTAATTAGGTGGGTATTATTCTTTATTTTCTCATTTTCTGCTTCAAGAATCAGAAATATCGGATTCGAATCTCTAATTACTGAAATTTTTATCAATTTGATATTTATAAATATTGATGAATAAATCTCTATATTGAGAACGAAAATTTTATCAATTGTGAAAAAATATACACGTATATACAATATTCTATTTGGCGTTCAATTCATTAAATAGTTACCACATATTTTATCTAGGTTTATCTTACACCCAAAAATTCAAGAATTTAATTTGACCATCTTCTTCTATTTAGATATATGTGTCCAAATAAATTCGGTTACAATAACATTAAATTATTGTTTTCGATTAATTATCAGTACTCTCACACTTTTTGAAGATAATCTTATTTGAAGATTCATGATGAGATTTCGTTTTACTCCTGCCTCATTAATATTTTTTTTTTAAAAAGAGATTAATCTATTTGATTTAAATATGTTTTCACATAAAATAACTTTTTACCCCGACTATTTAACAATTGTGGTAAAATTAATCCGCTTTTTACGAGTTCGAAAACCGATCAAATGAGACTTAAACTTGCAGTTAAAGCTCCTCACCAAGACATATGATTCTAATGACTGTCAATTTTATAATGAACCAAAGTAGAGTCTAAATTACACTTCAACTACTCCGACCAAGCTATCTTTAGATAGACATATGAATATTTTATAAGTGGGAATTGCAAATTAAACCTTGGTCTAGTATTAATAAAATAACAGTAAAACATAGGAAGAGCACAAAAGAAAGAATAAATAGATGAGGAATGGGGTAACAAAACCTGCAAAGTGGATAAAGCTAGAAGCTTGTATGTTCAAAGAAAACATTGCACAGCAAGAAATGAGGAACAATTTTCCCTTAGTATCTTCTACTGTGGCAAAGATATACAAGTAGTACAGATCACCGCATTCGGAGGACCATTAAGCTATCATGCGAATCGTTTGTACTAAAAGGAGCAGTGTTTTGAAGACCAGGTTTTGCGGGGATCCAAGGACTTTTGAAGCATCAGCTTAGAAATCCCAAGAATACAGTAAAATTGCTCAAAATGACCCAACATGCGCTTGAACACCATCTGGGGAGATAACACAGGACTTTGGTTGATTATAAGAATTGCCCTATTCCTCCAATCTTCATATGCAGCATCTAGGAAAAAGATTCATTCATTCCTCCTTGATTATCAAGAAAATCTCCAAATGGAAGGAAAGGTTTCTTCTGTTCTTGTTCTTGAACGAGCTCTCTTATTGGTTTCAAGTCAATTAAGTAAAGAAAATTTCTTGTATTTTCCTTTTAATTATTTGTCCACTTAAATCTCAATTTCTGATAATGAAATAGAAATGTGTTCTGGGTAAAGATTTGATTCTACAGTTGTCTCCTCAGAAACCAAATAATCAATTAATCTTAAAAGGAACTAATATTATTATCGTTATATAACAGAAAATACCTTACATATTTTTGCTATATGTGTAAGTTTAGAGGAAATAATAGCTCAACCGGAAATCTCAATAGCCTTGACATCAGGTTTCTTGATTTCCTCCTTAGGGACAGTCACAGTAAGAATTCCATTTTCCATTGAAGCCTTTACTTGATTCATCTTTGCATTCTCCGGCAGCCTGAATCTCCTCATGAACTTCCCACTGCTACGCTCCACACGATGCCAAGTGTCATTCTTGTCTTCTTTCTCCACATTCCTCTCTCCGCTGATTTGAAGAACCCTGTCGTCTTCAATCTCAACCTTCACTTCCTCTTTCTTAAGCCCAGGAAGTTCAGCCTTGAATACATGAGCTTCGCAGTTCTGTCTTCTTTCCACATTCCTCTCTCGCTGATTTGAAGAAGCCCGTTCGTCTCAATCTCAAAAGACCTCAACTTTCCTCTTTCCTTAAGCCCAGGAAAGTTCAGCCCGTGAAACATGACTTCTGTGCTCTTTTCCCCCAGTCTATGCGGAGGTGTTGATAAAAAGCAGAATTTCGACGAGGTTGATAAAAGCAGAATTTTCACGAGAGACGATCGAAGAAGATGAAGGGAAAGGAAAGTCTTTGAATGGATCCCAAACATCGAAAGAAGAGAAAGGATCGAAAATGCTGCTTCTTGAGTTACCGAAGAAACTTGGAATCAGAGCCATTTCCAATTTGTTTATCGCTTAGAAAAGATTGATAGATCGCTGAGAAAGTAATTCAGAACTGAACTGCTTCTTATTGTCGATTGTGGGATTAGGGCTGATGGGTTTGATTATTTATAGGATGCAGAAGAACGATTCTGGTAGTTTCTCGGGAAATCTAATTGGGCTTTCGCTAACAAACTGTATCTGGAAAAATCTCGAACCTTCAATGCTTCAGAAGGATTTGGGGCTTTTTCTCGCATGTTCTCGAACCTGTGTTCTTTCTACATCAATTATCAATTTCTTCTAGTATGTTCCTTAGATTGATTAAAAAATTTTCAATTAACCCTTTTAAAGACAATTAAAATAAAAATTTTTGCTTTAAAATAAATTATTTAAAATTCAACAATAATAAATTTTGCTTTTATATCATAAATAGTTGCAAAATTTTAAAATTCCAATTATCAACTTTATAATGGAGTGCGCATTCAATTGGTTTGATTAGTTTTAAGCAATTTATTAAATCAAACTAGATAAAATTAACCGAAAATCGAATTTTGAATAATCAAAACCAAACAAAAATAGAGAAAATCGGAATAATTATATTATATTATACTATTATGTTGTATATATTGGTTTTTTATAGTAGATAGAAAATATATCTAATGAAACAAAAATATAAGAATCTAAATTCTATAAAAATAAATTCGAAAATGAAGACTCTACTTTCTCATACACCTACTTTCTCATACACAACAATAATTATTTAACAAAAGAGTGAGGTGAACCAAATTCCTATCAAATAGATTTAACTATTTATTATAAGTTAGCACTGTTATTGCAAATTATTTTAGGATCTTAATTTTAAAAGGACAGCACTTTCCCTTTTGGGTTTATTAGGATTGCTTGAACTAAAATCGATTACACCGAGTAGGTTTTGATTACTAACCAAACCTCATCAATCACATTGAAAAATTGAATAAAAATAACAAAGTAACCGCAAAAATCGATTGAATCGAAAAATTGAATCAAATACTTACTCTTTACTCCTTTCAGTCTCTTATTTATATACACTTTTTATTTCACAAGAATTAAAAAAAGAAGTTATTTTTGTTAGAAATGACAATATATATATATATATATATATTTCTATTATACCTATTATACCTCTACTTTAATATTTACTTTAATATGAGATATACACGTTAATCGGTTATTTTACTTTGTAATCAACCAAGATTAATTACTTTATTATCTAAGTTACTTATCTAATGGAGTATTACATACCTCAGTTCCATAATAATTGTTACATTTATTAAATTTGTCTAAATTAGAAAAATTATTGAGCAAAATGTTTATATTACCCTTCATTTAATATTAATTCTCTAAGAAAATCATTAAATTAAAGTACTTCCTCCGTCCCGAAAAGATAGTCTATCTTTCTTTTTTTGTTTGTCCTAAATATAGTTTCACTTTCTTTTTTTGGCATTATAATTAATCCTTAAATTGTCTACTATACCCTTATTAAATTACCTTATTTTCAATAACGCTCATTAATTTTTAGTTATTATTTCAATACTCATGTGTTATTTAAGATGGACATAATAGGAAAGTTATACGAATAAAATTATCATTTAACTATATTTCTTAATATGTGTGAAAATAGAAAGTGGACTATTTTTTTGGGACAGAGGTAGTAATAATTATTGATCATATACAAGGGGTAAACACCGAAAAAAAAATATTTGTTACTCTTAAAACCACAAATGTGATATGTACTTAAGAAAAAATTATTTTCTCAAATATAATAAATATTATAGAACAGAGGTAGTAGTTACTATGAGTAACTATTGACATTTTCAATTTTCAAAGTTTCGATTTTCAATAAATAATGGCATTGAAAAATAAAGAGTAATTGATAAAAATAAGAAAGTTATTTTTAACAAGTAAAATTAAATATGGATATAATAGAGATTTAACATGTTAACTAGCTTATTAAAATTGTAATAATTTGGGACAAATGAAAAAGAAAAATGTGTCTATCAATTTGGGACGGAGGGAGTAATTGTTTTTCCTAAACTGATTTCCCCTCTTATGAATAACCATGAACTGTTTTTCCTAAACTGATTTCCCCTCTTATGAATAACCATGAACTAACGTTGTTTTATTATTTTACGTAAATTTTAATAAAGGTTTGAAGCTTATTTTTTCCCTTCATTTGAAAACTTCACTTGTTTTCTAACGAGAAGAACCATTGAAGATAAACCAGCTTCATAAGGTGTTCTCAAGTAGCTAACCTAGTCCCTTATTTTCTCTTTGAGGAAAAGATGAAAACTTCTCTTTGAGAAAAGATGCAAAACGATCAAATCGACAATTGTTTCAGGTAGCAGCGGGATGAGTCATCCTTTTCACACCTCGAGCATTATTTTGTTCTTTGTTTGGGGCTACTAATCAAATTGAGCATTGTTTCAGGACTTGGATTAAATAGAATGGCTACTGATTAATCCCTCCAATCTTCATATGCAACATCTAGGAAAAATATTCATTCTTTCCTCATTGATTATCAAGACAATCTCATAATGGAAGGAAAGTTTTCTTCTGTTCTTGTTGTTTGAACAAGCTCTCTTATTGGTTTCAAGTCAATTAAGTAAAGAAAGACTATATGGTCACCCTATAAGGATAAGGCTTTGAAAAAAATAATGTTCTTCAGAAGACTATTTCACAATCTAATATCTTTTCAAAACTATTTATTAATTTAATATTTGTCCTAACATGGAAAGAGATTGTTGCACTAAAATCACCAATTGAGTTGGTGGTTTCAGTGCAATAGAAAAAATAACTCGCACTGACAAGTAATCAACAAAAAATAATTATATGAATAAAAAATAATTTTTATTTTATATTGAGACCACCAATTTAATTGGTGGTTTCAATAGAAAATGAAAATTTTAAGTTGTCAATTTGCATTTTCACTAAAACACACAATTCATTTGTAGTTTTAATGCAACTATGAAATGTGACCACTAGTCAATAAAAAGTACATGAAAAAGTAGTGTTTTTTTAAAAGTCTACAAATTAATTAGTGGTTTCAATAAAAAAGTTTATTCACTCAAAATAATTTTTCATCAAAACACACATATAATCTGGTGATTTTAGTTAACAATTATTTCAAGTTAACTAATATCAACTTAAGTTTCCTTACACATTTAAAAATTACAACTTAAGTTTCCTTACACATTTAAAAATTACCAAGAGTAATGAGGTGTTTTGTGTTGAACTTGTATGAGGTTAAAAATGTCTTAATAACTAATACATGAAAAATTAATCATATTAATGTCTACCCACATGTCCTCCTGTACCACATCTTGAATGCCTCTTATTACGATGTGGATTTCGGCGTACTGTATCTTCTCTAACACCTTGATATTCTTATCCATGCTCAATATTTATATCAACAATCATGCGAGGTGCTTGAACCACATTTGCTAATGGTTGTTGTGGAGAAAATGTCATATGAGTCTGTTGCTCGGGTACCATCATCATCTCAAGGAAATCATTTAATGAGTGACTAGCATGAGATGTAGATCCATCATGTGTGCCGAAAGACACCATAGAAGTATTGAAAGCATGTATTGTATATTGAAATGGCATTCCCTTGCCTATTTCAGAGAAAGAAGTATGGATTTGCTTGGTTGCTATCATTGGAGTGTAATGAATGTTTAATGCCATTTCTAATATTGTAGATAGTACATTCCACTCAGGTTATGGTGTGGAAGATGGTGTGCTGGGCATAATAGTGCGATACCCTTCATACTAGTTATATGTCATAGAGGAAGGGACTTAAGGTATATCGTCTACTGGCTAGCCTTCAACTAGAATACGTCTACATGTTAAGAATTAATCTCAAATAATTCAATAATAACCTAGATCGTGCAAACCACTAGATTCAACAAAATAGATTGAATAAGAAAAGGTTGCGTACCTTGAATAAGAAAAGGTTTGCGGTACCTAAAAGGTTGCGTACCTGACATCGTTGTTGGTCGATCTTGATGTGTAGAATTAGGTTTGCAGCCTTCCAGAGAATTGAAGAATCGATTAGCGGAAGCAATACGAAAGGAACGTAAAATTGAATCGTATTCAACTCCTCTGGGGACCACTACCTTTATATACCTGTAGCGTTAGTATAATTTCTATTTCGGTCCTTTAACAAAATAAAAATTATATAATGGTCTCTACACTTAATATTTATAATCAGTTGATACCTCAATAGTCAATTATTCACAATCAAGACCACATTTGAAATTGACTTTACTTACAATTGGACTGCTGTACATATTTTTTTTTACATATTAAGCCCACAATAGAAAATTAAATCCAACAATTTGATCTAATACTTTGTTCTCAATATATTTGAATCGGGCTGCCTCTGAAACCATTTGGATAAAAGAAACTAGAGGTTTAGCAATGTCTGCTGGTAGAGAACTTTTTTGAAGATCATATATGTAATTATATTGATAAAGAGCTGAAGAAACATTCGCCATAGATCTTATGACTAAGTTCATCATCAACTACCTTACCAATACCCCTAAATGACACAGATTCATTATAGAAGTGTAGGATGAAAACTAAATGTAATGTGATCATCATGTTTGTTTCCAACTGGTCACCAACAAAAGTGAGATCAAGCAAAACAATAATAATACAGAGTGTAACCATCAACCAAAATGAGTACTCAATAAAATTTCATCAACATAATAAAACATATCCAAAACAAAATAGAGCATTCAAAAACATAACATTGCAAACTAAAGAGCAAAAACTACCCGACTAAAACTAGAACAGTCTCAAACAAACGATACCCATACAATGAGCGGCTACATGTGCTTCATGGAAAACTTTTCAGGTATCAAAACTTTCGGTATCACTGCCTTTGTAAGCGGATCCGCAATCATAGAGTTTGTTCCAATATGCTCTAAGGATATCTGTCCACTCTGTACCCTCTCCTTCGTAGCCAAGAACTTAATGTCAATGTGTTTTGA